GGTGATCCGGGGATCACACATAGAAGACCCACCCTACCGGTACCAGATAAATACCTCATCGGCAGACCTCCACTACATCCACTACCCAGCCGCCACCATACTCTAGGACGCTTTCTGGACCGTGCGGCCTGTGGCCGCGCAACACGTCATAAGACACTTAATACCCGTCTTCCAGGATTACTGCACCATATTTGATGGGGTCCAAATATGGTTTGAACCATGGGAAATCTGCAAAAATGATTAGAGACCGCCTAAAAGCCTCTATCCCTCTCGGAGAGCCTGGCAAGCTACCAAGAATATCCTGCCTGCACGGCAGAGCCTGGCAAGCTATCCATGGTGTATTCGATATACCAAAACCAGTAAATACAATGGTTCTCATTCCCCTGACCTTGAAAAGAGCCACCAATATGGCAGTATTAAAAAGGATGAGGAAGAAGAGACTGATAAAATCTCAAGGCTGAACTAAGCTGCCAAAATGAAGAAAGACAAAAATGACTGTACTTTCAATGCACGTACACTGGCATCGGGTGCATCCATCGAAGACCTGATGGTACAAGCGTGAAAGATCCAGTGCAATATCATTGGTCTGACCGAGACAAGAAGGCATCAATCACATCATGCCATTTTCGACACTGGAGAAGAACTATTTCTTGGAACATGCGACAAAAGAGGTGTTGGTGGTGTTGGTGTTGTCAACACAAACTTGGCCATGAGCATTGATTCATTCGAATGCCTAAGAACCCGAATTGGACGATTACACTTGAATAGATGTGGCTCACTGCCAGCAGTTTCTATCTTTGTTGTCTACGCATCAACATCCAATTATGATGGAGAAATTGAGAAGTTCTACATGGAGTTGGAGAAATTCTATAAAGACCACACCTTCTACAAGATCACTGTCGGTGATTTTAATGCCAAGATAGGACCAAAAAGATCAGCCGAAGAACTCCACATCGGGACCCATGGCCTAGAATGGAACGAACAGGGTGAGAGACTATCTGAGTTCATCATGTCGACCAGGATCATCCATGGTACCAGTTCCAGAAGGCCGAATCTAAATGTTGGACATGGGAGTCTCCTAGTGGATGGTTCCACAACAAAATTAACACATCATATTCACTTAACGGTTTTGCCTGACCTATGTCGCTGTTGTCCCAAAATTCCAAACGGGATCAGACCTCTGTCTCCTTCATGCAGAATTCTACTTCATGGAGCAGGGAGAAAGGGCTGCAAAGTTTAAGAAGAGAACTCCCAGAACGACCACCAACTTTGGCACTATTGTGGTAACTGGGAAGATGCCATCATTGACAACATTGACAAAGAATACGATCAACTGGTTCAGCACCTCCATGATTGTGCGAGGAACGCTGAGAGAAAGATAGCCACAAATAGACGCCTGTCTTCGAAAACTCTTGAGCTCATTCGCCAATGTGACTTGGTGCAAGCCTCAGGCAACCACAAGTGAACGTCCGAGCTTGCAAAGCAGTGAAGAGAAGTGATGAAGACCTCAAAGAGAGAAGAGCAGCAGTGCTGGCAGATGTGTCAGAAGCCGGGAAAAGCATTCGCAATGCTTGCCTGTCCTTTGCCAACTACGAGACCAAGATAACTGCCCTCCGACGTTCTGATGGATTTATCACATCTTCAAGAAGGGCAATGGAGAAGATTATCCATGACTTCTACTCAGATCTCTTTGATAGCCGCGTCCACATGCCCATATACCCAATTCCTCAGGATGGATATGTTGTTCCCAATGTTCTCCCTTCTGAAATCCGATGCGCCATTTCGTCGGTAAAGAAGTGAACAACACCCAGCCCAGACTAGGTCAAACCTGAACACTTGAACCTGCCGTCAGTACTTATGAATACACTGGCTCAGCTCTTCATGCTGCCTGTCTGAATGCAAGATTCCATCCCATTGGAAAACCAGCAGGACTGTACTACTGTACAAGAAGGGAGACATCCACGACATTGGCAGCTATCTCCCAATCTGCCTGTTGTTTGTCATCTACAAACTGTTCACTTGAGTCATCCTGAATAGCATTGGCAGAACACTAGATGAAGGACAACCATGCGAGCAAGCCAGGTTCTGAAAAGGATTCAGCACGATTGACCATATCCACACGATAACCAAGCTCATTGAGGTTTCTCACATTCTAATGTTCATTGATTTAAAGATGTCCTTTGATTCTGTTGAGACAGAAGCGGTCATCGAAGCCCTAGTCAAACAGGGCGTTCAAACTCGGTACATCAGTATCCTCCATGAGCTGGATTAGGGATTCACTAGCAGGATCTCACCGTTCTACAAGCAAGTGATCATGTCAAGAGAGGGGTTTGGCAGGGTGATACCATTTCACCGAAACTCTTCAGTGCCACCCTCAAGAACATCATGCGACGACTGGAATGGGAAGGAATGGGAGTGAAGATAGATGGTCGGCAACTACACCACCTCTGCTTCGCTGATGACATCGTTCTAATAACACCAGACATTAGCCAAGTGGCACAAATGCTGGCCGACTTCGACTGTGAGTGTGGAAAGGTTGGACTACAGCTGAATCTCACGAAGACACTGTTTATGAGAAATGGTCTCATTCTTGATATTTCCATTGCTGTCAACGGAATGAACATCTCCGGAATGAACATCTCTGAATGCAACAGTTATGATGAATGACCTGGCACCTGAGTTGTGCAGGAAGACGAGAGCAGTTTGGAATACCTTCAAGAGCATCAAATAGCTAAGAGGATGAAAAACCTCCGGCTCTGGCACATCTCTTTCCGCTGTTCTTCCTGCATTAACATACACCTCAGAGACCTGAGCCCTGCGAAAAGAGGATGAGAACACTATTTGGGTCTCCCAAAGAGGAATTAAAAGAGCTATGCTTGGAGTATCACATTTCACTCAAATGAGAGAAAGAATCCGGAGTTCCGACATCCGTCGACGGTCAAGAATCAGGGATGCTGTCTCCTTTGCCAAGGCACCAAAACTCAGATGTGCTGCACACCTAATGAGATTTGGGGAAGACTGCTGGGCTAGAGCCATTACCAACTGGATTCCATGGGACGTCAAAAGATCATGTGGCCGCGCACCTACGAGTTGGTCAGACTTCTTTGTCAAGACCCTGAATGATGGTTTGAGGCTCTTCATATTCCTAGAACGAGTAGACACCATTGGTCTACACTAGCACATGACAGGGACGAATGGAGACGTTACTGGTACTCGCTCGAGCAAATCCATGAGTAATGGGATGTCAAGTGATCTGGCACCGCAGGTAAGCCCGTTAATTCAAGTTCAAGGGCCAGAAGTTCAGCTACCAGAGTGTTATGTTCCTTTCTTAACTGAATCACCCTCGAAGTGCCTTTATGTGGGACAAGAGACTTCTTTTGGTTTGCTGAAGGCTAGAAAAGGGAGGGTAATCAACAAACGGCTCTTCCTTAGGGGCCGGGACATTGGGGTCAGGCTTCGCAGTTCCCCCTAGAGCATAGATGATCTGGTGAAAGTCCAGGGGGAGTGAAGGGCAGGAAAACTATAGGGAGGTGGTTGATGAGAAACAGAAGGGGGCCAGTCAGGGTGAACGTAACAAGCCGCTTCAATTTCTAATTCCTCTATGACCCGCAAAAGCAGCACGTCATTGAGGACCCCTGCAATGGGAGTGAGTGACTGAGACTGTCTGCCCATAGCGTCTGAAGTGCCGAGTCTTTGTGAAGGTGGGCTGACCCTCTCTGGAGTGCCCTCCCCACCACCCCCCATGAGGGCGTTGGCCAGAGGCCGAGCACATGGACCGCTAGACTGCGATTTGCAGTCTGACGCCCTAAGCTCTGAGAATAGAACCTTTTCACAGGCGGCCAAAGCTGAGATAAATAAGAACTGTTGTTTGCAAGATGGACATTTCTCTCGCCTTTTTCGTAGTCCTCTTCTGAGTCAGGTGACCACATGCTGTGACTTCTTTTTGCACTGATGTTCTGATCATGGCCTTGGGAACACTGAGGCAGTCTGGTGAGCAGCCCCCACAGCCCCTTTGAGCCACTGTGGCCAGTTGGGGAAGGCGTTAGGAGCAGCCTGGTACTGGGGCAGAGGCGAGGCCCCCTCGAGGCTGGACACTTGGCCTGGGCACCTTGGATCAGCGATGGCCTCTCCTCCGCTCCGCCTGGGCCCTCTTAGCCTGGTTGACAGACCATTCCCCCTCCACCCCATGGGAGGGGCTGTTAGAAAGTGTCATTTCTGTGATTTCTTTGTTTGGATCCAAATCCACACCCAGCAGGCCTGGGGGCGGGGGGAACCACAGGGGGATCCAGGGATGGAACTGGCCGACCACGTGGGCCTGAACCCAGCGCTCCCTCCAGCCCAGCCCTCTGTGTGTTGACCTCACGCTTGGAGTGTGCGATGAGCACTTGGGCTGTGGAGGAAGTGAGGAACACCGGGCGGGTGTTGCTGGGGGCAGCGATGAGGAGCGGAACTCACGCCTACACGGCTACTTCGGGCAGAAATAGAGGGGCACGGGAATGTGGGGGCGAGAGGCAAGCGCACAGACCCTGGCACCGCACGAGGGAGGGCTGGACCTTCTCCAGCCAAGGTGCTCAGAGCTAGACATCGTGGTGGGCGTGGCAGCTGGGACCGTCAGCTCCTGGCCATGCCAGTCCCTGCACGCCTTAGACTCTGTTGGGGTAGTGGGGGCTGTTAGCTCCGAGGGGGCGGGCAGAGGGCTGTCTATCCCCGGTTCCATTGGTCGCGGCTCCCTGGGTGGGCGTGGTCACCCTGCCCACCCCTAGCCTTATTGGTCTGGGCTCTGGGTGGGTGTGGCCATTGCCTACCTCCCGTCCCATTGGTCTTGGCTCTCTCGGTGGGCGTGGTCGCTCCGCCCACCTCCCCGTGCCATTGGCCCGGCCCTGGGTGGGCGTGGTCACCCCCCTGGAGGCGGCTGCACCTCTGCCCTCGCCCGCACGTGGTGGGGTTGCGGATGGGAGTGGTGCCGAGCGCTCGGTGAAGTGTTTCTGCCCTTTCTGCAGGCACGCGAGAAGAAGCACCATCAACGCGGAGGACGTGAAGCTGTTGGCCAGGAGGAGCAACCCACTGGTGAGCGCTGGGGCCCTCCGCACGCCCCTGCAGGCAGGGCATCTCCTCCGCGGGATGCATCTTGCTAAACCAGTCTGCAGGTTTCTAATCCGCTCTCCTTTCTGGTCTCAGCTTCTCCGCAGGGCCCTGCGCCCGGTTTCCTGGGGGAGGAGCATGGGTGCGTGCGGCCGGGATGTGCAGGAAGCAGAATGAGCCCTGTCCTTCCCAGGGAGCCTCAAGGGCTCTGGACCGGCCCTGGGGACTCCCCGGTGCTGGCTGTGATCACCGGCAGCTCCGGGCCACCTGGGGTTTCCTGACTCGGTGATCCTGGCAGGGAAATGCTCTCCACCCTCCGGGGACTGGCCACTGCACTGGCCACAGGTGCGCTTGTGGGCTCTGCTCCATGCGCTGTGCCCGGTGGGGGCTGCTGGCTCAGTATCCATTGAACAGGTGTCTTAGTTTTGCACCTGCCCGTTTGCACAGAGACGTTTCACACTGACCCATTGACCATTGATCCACTGACCCTCTCCCCTATGCAACCCGAAGTGCAGCCCTGACTTCTCTGTCTGGCAGTGCTGGGGAGCGTGTGGGGCGAGGGTCCCCCTGGCCAGGCAGGCGCTCCAGGCCTTACGGTTGCCTCCCCTCCTATGCTGAGGGCTTTGAGGGATATGGTGTAAACCTCACAGTCACACTTGAAGGATTTTACTTTCATCCACAAAAAACTTTGAGGGTCTGGAGAGATAGTACAGAGTTAAGGCTCTTGCCTTAGGTCTGGCTGACTCTGGTTCAAGTGCTCAGCACCTGCATATAAGGGCCCCTGAGCACTGCCATGTGTCACTTCTAAGTACAGAGCCAGAAGTAATGAGTACTGCCGGGTGTGATACCCCCCCCCCCCAAAAGAAAAGCCAAAACAACTTGGGAAGGCATTGGGCCATACTGGGGGTACTCAGGCTTGACCTCTGGCTCTGTGCTCCTGGCAGGCTCAGGGAACCATGTGGGGTGCTGGGGGTGGGGCGCAGGTCGACTGTGTAAGTCCAGAGCCTCACCCATTGTACTCTCCAACCCAAGGCCAGACTGTCCTGGGCCAGAGGGAGTTCAGCTGAGTGGGTGCTTCTCCTGTGGGGCCTGGGTCAGGCCCCAACACCTCCTTGTCCCCGAGCCCCTGCCCGGCTGTGGTGGCTTCTGGCTTGTCACAGTGACCGGGGCCACTTACACTCTCACTGCGTCTGCACATCCAGGTCACACACTTTTTTTTTTTTTTTTTTTTTTGCTTTTTGCTTTTTGGGTCACATCTGGCGATGCACAGGGGTTCCTCCTGGCTCTGCACTCAGGAGTTACTCCTGGCGGTGCTCAGGGGACCCTATGGGATGCTGGGAATCGAACTCGGGTTGGCCGCGTGCAAGGCAAACGCCCTCCCCGCTCTGCTATCGCTCCAGCCCCTAGACTTTTTTTTTTGCTTTTTTGGGTCACACCTGGTGATGCTCAGGGATTACTCCTGGCTCGTGCACTCAGGAATCACTCCTGGTGGTGCTCAGGGGACCATATGGGATGCTGGGAATCGAACCTGGGTCGGCCGTGTGCAAGGCAAACACCCTCCCTGCTGTGCTATCTCTCCAGCCCCGAGTCACACACTTTTGTTTGCTTCTTTCTTTGTTGTGTTTTGGCCACCCTCAGTGCTTGGGGTCACTTCCTGCTTGTTGAGACCGTGCAGAGCCGGGGGTCTAACCCGATCTCAGCCCACTCTTATCTCCCCAGTGCCAGGTCATAGCCTTTTTTTTGGAGGGGGCTGCAGGGGGTGAGCGGTTAGAGCCAAACCCATGGGGCGGGGGAAAACTCCCAGCTCTGCTTGGGGGTCACTCCTGGCAGTGCTTGGGGGACCATATGCGTGCCGGAGCCTGAGCCAGGCAGGCCGAGTACAGGGCAATGCCTATCCTGTCCCCCGGCCCAAGCTGTGCATGGCCAGTGCTCTGGGACGGGGAACTAGTGTTTGCCTGGCCCCGAGGTCGGTGTCATGCTCGGGGCCTTTACCTTGGGTCCCTGTGGGGCAGGCAGGCACGGGTTTGCACCGTCTGCAGGGTCAGCCCTCATGCCCCTGAGCCGGGAGCCGTCTGTGTGAGCAGCCTCCAGCAGGTTTTTGTCTGGTTTCCTGCCTTCAGGACAGATTGGAGCCTGCATTTAACTCGAAGGAATGTCACCCAGGCCGCGCCCCTGAGCGGCTGGGAGAGGCAGGGACATGGGTCCCTGCCTCCCGGTCTGGCAAAGGGCTTTACAGCCAGGCAGCTGTTCCCGTTTATTTCTTCCACAGCTAAAGTACATCACAGAGAAGAGTGAAGAGCTCGCGCAATTGAACCTAGAGCGAAAAAGCAAGAAGAAAAAGAAGTCAGGGGATGAGAAGAAAACTCCAGGCGAGCCGGCCGAGGGGGGAGCTGTGGAGGACAGTGAGGGCTAGACTTGCCCTGGAGGAGACTTTGCAGGGAAGTGGCCAGCGTGAGAGAGACGGAGTTCTCCGCTGTTTCGCTGCTGTTATTCCGCTGTCACTTTACGGCAGCCCTTGTGGGGGAGGCAGGAAATCTTCAAAGCAAGCACGCGATCGAGAGCGTGTGTGTGGCAGGATTTTGGAAATCATTTCTTATAGTGAATAAAATTATGTTAGCAATTAACTATGGGTGCCTTTTCCAGAAACCATAGCGCTCCATTAATGGTCTTAAGATTATTGAAGTATGATGCAGGGACCAGAGGAAGAGCCCAGGGCTTAAGGTGCCTGCCTTGCGGGACGCCAGCCCGGGTTCAATCCCTCACGCCGAAAGTGGTCTGTCTCCTGAGCTGCGCCAAGCGTGATCCCTGAGCACAGAGCTAGTAGTAAGCCCCGAGCACCGCCAGGTTTGACCTAAAAGCAAAAAAAGCGGGGAGGTGTGGCTGGAGCGATAGTACGGTGGGTAGGGTGCGTAACTTTGCACATGGCTGGTCCAGGTTTGATCCCCGGCATCCCATATGGTCCCCTGAGCTTCACCAGGAGTAATTCCTGAGTGCAGAGCCAGAAGTGACCCCTGAGCATCGCTCAGGGTAGCCCCCAAACAAAAAGGAACCCCAAAATATGTTTTAAAAATTAAATAGGGCACACACTCTCAGGTAGCACACAGGCGCTAAGGCCCCCACCAAAAAAGGCACATACAACTCCAGGCTAAATAACAGCCCTGTAAGATGGACGAGGCTGTACTCATCTCGTCCTTAGAACTGGCAGAACGTGTGTCTTATTTGACACATTTGTGTTTCTGGGTGTGTGTGTGTGTGTGTGTGTGTGTGTGTGTGGTCTGTCTGTGACCTACACCAGAGGTATTTGAACTACACCTGACAAGTGCTCAGGGCTTGCTTACTCCTGGTTCTGTGTTCAGGGATCACTCCTGATGGGGCACAGAGAACCCATGTAATGCCAGGGGTCAGACCCAGGCTGACGGTGCGAGACAGCGTGCTTCCCACCGGCTGCCATCTTTCTGGCCCATCTGCTGTGTGGTTGGCCCCCTGCTCGCATCAAACGTGCAGGTTTTGCCAGCACGTGGTTCCCGAGTTGCTGCGTGGCGCCCAGGCACGTAGGAGTCAGCCCTCTCCGCATCCTGAATGGTCATGGTTTTTGGGGAGGGGTGGGGACCTTGGTGACAACGCCCCTTGATACTCGGCCTGGTGGTTCCGCTCTATGGCCTGACGATGTGGCGCGGGGGTTGGACTCGGGAGCATGTGCGCCTGGCACTCCGGCCCTCAGAGCGCTGTCAGTGCCCTCGTGATGCGGAAAACTCCGAAGGAATGTCCCCTCTCCCCGCTCCATGGGCCAGTCAGAACCAGGTTTACTCGGGCTATCTCAGGGGACACCTGTCACTCAGCCTCTGTGAGTCTGGCTTTGGTGACAGAGAGCATGGGTCCAGGTCTCTGTGGAGGCCTGGCACCAGCCTGGAATGTTCCGCCTGTTGGCCATTTAAGTAGGTGTCAGCCATCCAAAGAAGCTGGCGTCTCTGCAGTGACTCCGGCCCACGCAGCGTGGGCTGCCGATGCTCGGGGGTTACTCCTGGCTCATGCACTCAGGAATTGCTCCTGGCGGTGCTCACGGGACCATATGGAGTGCTGGGAATCGAACCTGTGTCGGCCATGTTGGCTGCATGCAAGGTAAACGCCCTAACCCACTGTGCTATCACTCCAGCCCCTATTTTTTAGTTTTTAATCACAGCGGGTAGGGATTTGCCTTGCACGTGTCCGACCCGGGTTCAATTCCTCCATCCCTCTTGGAGAGCCTGGCAAGCTACCGAGTGTATCCTGCCCGCACGGCAGAGCCTGGCAAGCTTCCTGTGGCGTATTCGCTAATGCCAAAAACAGCAACAACAAGTCTCACAATGGAGACGTTACTGGTGCCCGCTTGAGCAAATTGATGAACAACGGGAGGAGAGTGCTGTAGTGCTGATTTTTTTGTGTTTTGGGGTCATACCTAGTGATGCTTAGGGATAAGTCCTGACTCTCCATTCAGGAATTACTCCTAGCGGTGCTCGGAGGACTCTCTAGGATGCCAGGGATCGAACTCATGTCAGCCGCATGCAAGGCAAACGCGCCCCACACTGTACTATCGCTCTGGCCCCTCAATACATCTTCTCAAGCAGGACAGAGAGTACAGGGAGTAAGGCACGTGGCTGGCCCTGGTTCTCACATCTCAGCCTGCGGGCACTCTCTCCACACCCCACGGGAACATTCCTCCTCTGACTCTAGCCCACTGTGACAGTGGCCAGTGCCTGGGCAGGCCACACCCGGCAGTGCTCCTTGAGACCAATCCTGGTGGGGCTCAGGGGACCACACAGGCCGCTGGGAATGGAACCTGGGTTGGCTGCACGCCAGGCAAGTGCCTTACCTTAGTGGACCCCTCCCAATGGTACCGAGGACCTCTGGGGCTGTACCTTGTGGTGCCTGGGGGGACCGTGGGGCGCTGGAGGTTGGCCTCAGGGCCTCAGGAATGAAGGCAGTGCTCCAGCCCTCAGAGCTGTGTCCCAGTTCCCGCCTAGTAAAGCCACTGGGGTGTGTGGCTACTGGGGCAGCCTGGTCAGTAGCCTGCTGGTCAGTAGGTCAGGGCGGCCTACTTTGCCTTCGACTACAGGGCTGTGATGGGGAGCACAGGGCCAGGGGCACTCCCCTGCCAGGTGGCTTGTCCCGCAACATTGCCTCTGGTTCATTCTGCCCAGGGGTCTCCACACTCAGCCTTCTGACTCCCCGTCCCAGACTTACCCGCTCTTATTAGGTTCAATCACATGTGCTTGTTCCCCGGCCTCCTGCCTGCTGCCGGCGAGGAGGAAGCGGTTCTTGAGAATCACCCCGAAATCCAGCCGGCCCGCCCCGCGCCCGCCTGCCCTGCTCACGCGTCAGCGCAGGTTCATTCTGGTCCAGCTGCTTTTGTGCCAACTGGGGTGGCTGCGTCACCGCTTGGAGTGTGCGGAGAAAGAGGGGTTGTGCCCTGAGTCGGGAAAGTACAAAAAGGCCCAGCTGTGGCCCGTGCGGTGCAGACACCCACGCCCACAGAACGCTTGGCTCCCGCACCTGAGCTGGGGTGCAAGGCCAGGCAGCCCCCAGGATGCCTCTGCCACTGGCCCTCGGGGTGTCACTGCTGCTGCTGCTGCAGATCTCGGGGGTCTGTCCCAGAAGTGGAGCCTCCACAGCCCCCGCGGCGTGGTGAGTAGCCGGCCGCACAGTGGCCCGCTCTTGGCCCTGCGCGGACCCCCGCAGCCCCCTGCAGCCAGGGTCCCAAGCAGACCACGGGACTGGGTGACGGGGCTCGAGGAGGCTCCACCAAGAGGAAGTTTGCTAAAAGGCTGGAGACCCCCGGGAGAGGAGCACCCCCCCACCCCCCAGCTAGTGTGAGGCACCCTTGGCCTGGCAGGGCCCTCACGCCCACCCCTGGGACCCGAACCCTTAACTGCTGAGGCTGCCTGGCAACAGGCTCGGGTCTCCGATGCACCTTCCTACGGCCAACCTTCCATTTCCTTTCTTGTTTGTTTTTGGGCCACATCTGGCAGTGCTTAGGGCTGAGTCCCGGCTCTGCACTCAGGGAGCACTCCCGGCGGGGTCCAGCGCTCAGGGCTGAGTCCTGGCTCTGCACTCGGGGATCACTCCCGGCGGTGTGAGTGCTTAGGGCTGAGTTCTGATCACTCCCAGCAGGGTGCAGTGCTCAGGGCTGAGTTCTGATCACTCCCGGCGGGATGAGTCCTTCTCACTCCCAGTGGGTGCAGGGAGCGTTCTGTGGTACTGGGGGTTAAGAACCTGGATCTGCTGCGTGCCAGGCAAGCGCCTCACCCCTGCACCTTACAGCCCCATTGTCTTTTTTCTTTTTTTTCATTTTGAAAATGTTCCAAGAAGGAGTGCATGAGGTTGACCGTTAAAACTGGATTTTTCTCTGAAATGACTTCTGTGTTCCCACCACCCCCACCCCGAGGGTTCTCATCTTCTCTCTTTGATCTAAGATAGTGGGGGTGACCCAGAGAGGCCCTGCGGGACTCAGGGGCTTGTCCCGCATGTGACCCGTGGCCGACTCTGGCCCAGCCCATTGCCCCATGGTGCCCGGGCAAGACTGGGGGTAGTGCTATAGGCCCAGGGTTGGGGCAACGGCATGTCCTCGAACCCCAGGAATTGCCAGAAGGGCTCCCTCAGGCCTCCTCAGCACCTTTTGGGGACCCCGCAATAAACACGAAAGGAATTTATAATTTTGCTGGGGACTTCAGTGGGTTTGAAGCTGAGCTCTGGCCCCTGAACACCGCCAGGGGTCACTCGTGAGCACAGGGCTGGGAGTAGTCCCTGAGCACTGCTTGCTGGCCCCCAAGCAAAAATAAAACAACAGGGCCAGGGAGAAGCTCAGAGGGCACACAGCGATTTCCACAGCAGGGACCGTGCATGAGGGTGAATGGCGAGTTTCATTTTTCCGTGAAATGAAGCAACTGTGGAACCCCACTTGGGAGTAACCCCTGAGCACCCCCTGGTCTGACCCCCACCCCACCCCCAAAAAAGGTCCAATTTATCTCCATTTTGTATATGCATGTGTATGTACGTGTATCTGTGTGTATATGTATGTGTCTGAGTACATGTGTGTATGTGTGCTGTGTATCCATGTGTGTATATGTATTTGTGTGTTTTGTGTGCGCACACATGTGTATGTGTGTGTGTATTTGTGTGTGTGCATGCATGTATTTGTCTCATGAACGTAATTGTAAATGAGAGGAAAAGCTAAAATTTGGGGCCCCAGAAACAGAACAGTGGCCAAGGCACTTGTCTTGCACACGCCAACACTGATTCTTTTCCTTCCTTCCTTCCTTCCTTTCTTTCTTTCTTTCTTTCTTTCTTTCTTTCTTTCTTTCTTTTCTTTCTTTCTCTTCCTTCCTTCCTTCCTTCCTTCCTTCCTTCCTTCCTTCCTCCCTCCCTCCCTCCCTCCCTCCCTTCCTTCCTTCCTTTCTCTTTCAGCTTTTTGGGTCACACCCAGCGATGCTCAGAGGTTACTCCTGGCTCTGCATTCAGGGATGACTCCTGGCAGTGCTCGAGGGTGCTGGGGATTAGACCTGGGTCAGTCATCGTGCAAGGCAAACCCCCTCCCCGCTGTACTGTGGCTTCAGCCCCAACCC